TTTTTAAATTCTTCTTTTATTTTTTTATTTTTTTATTTTTTTTAAACAACCTTTTTCAATTATTAAAATCATTTTTTTTTTATAATTTGTTAGAACCTGAAATTTTTAATGTTATAACTTGAAAGTCTAAATCTACTGCTATAACTCAAAAATATTAATATAATATATGTCATATATGAAATTTACACTTTTTTTGAAACTCATTATCTTCATCATAAATAATCCGCAATTGTTTTTAAGTGATTTAGACCAATATGAAAATCTCGAGATTTTTCGATATAATCACTTGAAAGATGGATACGTAACAATTTTCTTATAAATTATAAAAATTCATAAAAAGATTAAATGGATATATAGGTCTATACACATTTTTGTGGAGCTTGTCAAATATTATGCAAATAGATAAGATAGTTTGTGCTTTTGAAGACTATTTCCTAAAAAATAAAAACAGAATAAGGGTTTTTAAAAAAAGAAAGAGAATATATGTCTTTTCATAGATTCCCCTAAATTATTTATGCTTTTGTAGTGGGAATTAGAACTACAAGAAATTCTTCCTCACTAAAAGTTCTCCATTATGGGCCAAAAAGCTCTTCCTCACTAAAATTATTTATGCTTTTGTAGAGGTAACTCCCACTAGTCCAGAGTGACGAACTCGACCTAGAAGGCAAATTCCTTGCAACTTGAGACATCCGATATGAAAATCCCAAGCCCAAACGACTCGGCTTCACAATTTATTAACTTCACACAGAAACAAACAACTGATAACAAGACTTGAAAAAAGGTCTGGAGCTTTTTCAATCATGGAGTTAGTACTGCAATACTGTACAAAAAAGCTAGGAAATGAAGCAATTGAGCGCGAGTACAGAAGAAGATAGAGGAAGAAATAAGGAAAGCTTATGCCCCTATGGAGCAATTCAATTGCAGAGTCTCACTCAAATTAGTATTTGAAAATGCAATATAACAAGACAACATCTTACAGGCCTATAGGCCATAATAACATGTAGTATGTCTTATTTAAAGAGACGAACATTAGCACACTGTAAAGCCAGCTGAAGTCTTCGATACTATAACTAGATTACTTCCACTTCTTGAATTTACCTCCGAACATCCCTCCCTTGCCATGCTTAAACTTGCCGTGCTTTCCATGTTTGAATTTCCCTCCCTTGCCATGCTTAAACTTGCCTCCTCCATGATGACCACCTCCATAATGACTGCCGCCTCCAACAAATGGCACACCATGTCCTCCCATGTGAGATCCACCGTGTGACAGCTTATGAGCGCCATATGCAGCAGCTGCAGCTGCAGCACCTCCAGCTAACATTACCCCCATGCCACCATGTCCTCCTGAAAAGTAACAAGCAAACAAACACGAAAAATTAATAATGAGGAAATTGTCAAGATGTACTTGGTCACAAAAGTCGCAACATATTATAAATGTTCATTATTTTCCTGCATCTAGTTGTTCAAGTGATACCATTGCTATCAAAGAAACTTAACTAGACAAATCCAAAAAGGGTGCAACCAATTAGACAGTATCTTATTGGGATGTCCGGGGGTTGTTGACAGCTTATAAATTACTAAATGAAGTCTTTACAAGTCACTTCCAAGAAACTTGGGAAGAAATAATACCTGACTGGTGTGGAGCACCATGATGACCTGCAGGAGGATATCCCTGTGGAGGATATCCTTGTTGTGGAGGATATCCAGCAGGTGGATATCCTCCTTGCGGAGGATAACCCTGTTGTGGATACCCTTGCTGTGGAGGGTACCCTTGTTGTGGTGGGTACCCTTGAGGAGGATACCCTTGCTGCGGAGGGTAACCACCGTGCTGTGGAGGATACTGTCCTGGATGTCCGTGATGACCACCACCCATACCTCCCATTATATTGTTAAAGAGTCCCTTATCAGAATCATCCTTACCACCTCCCATATTTCACTAGTACCTAAAACAGATAAATACTTGTCAGACATATTACAACAATGACTAACTAGGAATGAAATCAAATGAAATTCGTAGATGATAAAAGATTATGAGCCACAAGATATCAATTACTACTCTTAACTTCAAAACCTACATAATGCTTTCTGAAACATCCAATCAGTCAAAGAAGAATTATGTGCACAACTAATGATCAAGCAACCACTGATTGAACTTGTAGTACATCATATATAGATTGTGCACATCAAGAAACAAGAAAGGTGGACATCAACATAAAGCTGATTGTCAAGTAGGAGAAGTGTTAAATTTTAACACAACAAGCTACAGACAGAATTGCAGGAAGCCAGCTAATATGTTCTGAGCAAGTGAAATGCAAAAAAACAGGAGGGTAGACATAAACATTTTTATAAATTTCTATGCAGTACCCTAGCCTCCATTCCTGAATAAGTTTTCAGATCACCCTAAGAAAAAAAAACCTTCACCTCTCAAAGATTAGAAGCATCAAAAGTTCTTTTTTTGTTTCGAATAAGTTGGAAACAACTTGCATTTTGAGGAAAAAGGAGAGGCCTTTTTTAGAGGGGTGGATCATAAAGAAGGAAAAGTGACTAAATCTAATGAAACAAAAGGAGCTAAAACCAAATATCCATTCTTTTTTCATGATTTTTTTCTTTTTTTTGGAATCTAAGTTGCATGACTATTTGTTTATAATACACCTTGAAAAAAGACAAAACTCAATTAAAACAGATCTCTATTCCCTTCTACAGCAAAATCATGCAAGAGGACAAAATCCTCATTTTCTAAAGCATCCAAATTCAGTTCCAGAATAGGACAATTCTCAACCCAAAAACAGAAAAAAGGGAACTAATAGTCTCTCTTTCCAATTCAACAAAACCAAAATTTAAAACCCAATGACTCATCAGCTCATCAGCTAAACAGAAAATACAGAGAAAACACAAAATCAGCTCAGAAAAAATTGGTCCAACTCTATAATGGTTGATCATACAAAAAAAAAATGGTAAAAACCAAATCTTCTGGTCACAAGGGAAGAAACAATCAAACTTGAATTTCCAAAATCAGCTTGTTTTTTTTTAAAAAAAAAGCTGATCTAATTTGTAGTCGGTGGTCATAGAAACAAAAATCAAAAGGGTAGACTCAAAATCCTTTAATTTTCCCATTAACAAAAACCCAAATCTAGAAAACATGAAAAGGGTACAAAAAGATCAAACTTTTAATTACAAAAGATCAGATCTTGAATTTTCAGACTGATGATCATCATCTGGGCAATTCAGATAATTCATGCATGGCTTAACAAATCATCAAACAAGAGAAAAGCATCATCAATGGGGTAAAAGGAGAAGGGGTTCTTACAGATTTATCTCCTTGAGAAGTTGAACGAACGTTTGTTTAACAAAACGATATGGTCTATGAATGGAGTATTTGAAGGGCTATTTGTGAATGAGATATTTCAATGATTCCACGCGTTACTTAGACGCGTACATGACGTGTGCTACTTTCAATAAGGAAAAAGCCAAAATATACAAATCTTAGCAACTACTCCTAGTGTTATATTATTACTTTTAATAAATATAATATTTGGATACTATATATGTATGTTGAAAAAATTACCTAAATATACAACTTATTTTATTATATTCTCTGAATTTTTCTATTATTTGAAAAAATTACAAAAAAATCATATTTTATGTGATGTATCAATCAGATATATTACTTTACGCGATATATCGAGACGTTACTTTACACGATGTATCGGTTACGTGATGTATCGAAATATCGAGTGATGTATCCGAAAATGAGAGCGATGTATCAGGACGTTGACGGATGTATCCAAAACCAGAACGCGATGTACCGGAACATTTTGGAATGCATTCGAATTCCATCAAATTTAAGGAATTTTTGTAATTTGAAAAGAGTAGGGATATGATGTAATTAACTCTTAACACTATGGGATTTGTGTAAAATCTACATTATTATATCGATTTTAATGGTTACATTACAAAATATTGCACGTCAATCTATAAGAAAAGTAGAATACGATGTAAAGCTATTATAAAAAGGTAGGTAAATAATAAAACAAGATTTTTAAATACTAAATAAAGATAAATTAAAAATATTAAAGTAATTACTCGGTCTCACTAAATTGATTGTTACATAAAATGAGACTTTTCTTTCATACTTGACGATAGATTTAAATGATATAAATATGATAAAATTTAAGTAACAAACATGGTATCTAAACTTAAAATACAATATTACAACAATTAACAACCATTCAAACGGGGTGTGATATGAATCATATTTTTTTTTATTTAATTTTAAGAAGATTGTAGAATATTTTTTTTTAAAAAAAAAAAACTTTTTTTGCTCATATAATAAAAGAAGAATAAAATGACTATCAAAAAATGTGGAGCAATTGATAAAATAACTTTTTCCGTAATTAAAGGTTTTAATTTTAAATCCTAAATCTAAAAATATTCTTAATAAAAAAACACTAGCTTCGAATGAATCTTACCTAATATGAATTCGAATTAATTAGCCCAACATTACCTGAAATACCATATGAAAACAAAAAGAAGAAAGAATAAAAACATGCACGACGAATGAATTCTTCTATTTAATTAGTTGCATTTTTATTTTTTTTGGCTGACACCCTTTATTCCAACTCCTAGAAAATAATAAATAAGCTCAATTAATTTATTTTATAATTATTACATTTTATTCTTTTTAAATAATGAAAAACGGAGTGAAATCATATAATTCAAACTCATTTTGAATGTATTTTACTAATTGTAATATTTCAAAAGAAATATGGTCAAAATCTCAAAATCTTATCTATAAGTTATATATGGACCATAACACACAAACTCCAACGCTATTATATAGATCAATACCATATAAAACGTCTACTACTCATTATTCAAAAAGAGAGTACAAGAATATATCTATTATAAATTGCAAAATCAGGATAGCATATACAATAATAATAATATCGTATCTAATATAATCCCGCACGTGAAAAACCAGGATAATATACACAAAATGCTTATTTCCACTTCTTGAATTTCTTCCCAAATTTCTTGCCGTACTTCTTGCCACCCTTATACTTGCCCTGTTTGTATTTTCCATGACCATAATGACCTCCGCTGCGTCCATAACTTGCAGCACCATAGGCAGCCACGGCCGCAGCCATGCCTCCGGCCATCAATCCCATGTTTCCGTGCCCTAAAAATGTGTCATGTACGTATACGACTTATTTAATTAGTACGATATAAAAATTACTATAGTATGTGTATAATAATACAAATATCGCTCATTTGTTACTATAACTTAACTAAGTACATATCTAATATTGAATAAAGTATATATATGGTCTCACAAAAAGTTAGAGATATAACATGTGTGTATATATAAAGCATAACAACTCTAAACATGCCACGTGAGATGTGACGAGTAATTAACATGTTTTTTTTATATCCTTAATTATTAGTTTAATTAATTAATGAAGATTGATACCTGATTTGTTTGAAGTGTAACCTGCTGGAGGATATCCTTGTGGGGAATATGCACCACCTTGTGGAGGATATGCACTAGTCGGGGGATAACCTTGTGGGGGGTATCCACCAGCAGGGGGATATCCTTGTGCTGGAGGATAGGCTCCAGCTGGGGGATATCCTTGTGCTGGAGGATAGGCTCCAGCCGGTGGATATCCTTGTGCAGGAGGATACCCTTGTGGAGGGTAAGCTACTGGCTGCGGAGGGTATCCTTGTGCAGGTGGATATTCTTGAGCGGGTGGATACCCTTGAGGAGGATATCCTTGTGGAGGGTAAGCACCTGGCTGAGGAGGATATCCTTGTGGAGGGTAAGCTCCTTGCTGAGGAGGATATTGTCCTGGAGGATAACCAAATTGTTTATTTTTACCGCGTTCCATTCTTCACGAATACCTAATTTTGACAAGAGTATAGAAATTAGGACATATTGATTTCAAAAAGTAATGGAACATTATGCAAAACAATATACGTACAGAAAACATGGGTTATTCTTATATATTTCTTACAGGTTCTCTTATATTGTTGAAGTGCAATATTTTGGAATGAAGAATGAAAGATAAGGTAGAACAAAAATAACACAATATAAGTAGTGGATAAGTATTTATATGTTTTTTTCTTGGTTAATATATTGAGTGGTTGCCCAGTAACATATTAACCAATGACTTTGGTGGGTGATCATTGAATATTGAGGTAATTTATTGGTTGGTGACTTGGTTCAGAAACATCAAAAGTCAAAACCATATACTAATTAATGAGCAAATATGGAGGAGTATAATTTAAGAAAGTGTTTGCGTACAATTACTAACATATATATAACTTAATTGTTTTTAGTTCTCATCAATATTGGAGACATTGAATTATAATGACCGCGTGAAAAACAAAAGAAATGAGATTTCTTGCTCTTTTATAATTTAAATAGAAAAAAAAACGATCTTTTCATATCTCTTAAATGTAAAATTGAATATCTCTTATAAAAACGACATAAAACTTGATTTTCTTTTATAATGAATAAAAAATCATTTATTTTTTAAAAAAATGTCAATGTCATCAATCAATTATGAGAGAAATTAGTACACTTGATTGTGAGATGCACGTGCCTTGAGGGAGTCAGACTTCGATATAAACAATGGATAAGGTGGGTCATTAGTCATTACTCAAATAACTATTTTTGCTTATCTCAACATTTGGATTTTTTTTTTTGCTTCGTTTCCTATATCTCAACATTACTCAAATTTTAAATATTATTTTTATGTTCTAAATAAGGGTACTAAAAGTGGTTATTTGGTGTCATTTCTACCTCTTGCTTGCTTTGATTGGACTTTAACAACTAAGGAAAAAATAATGGATCGCTAACAATAACTTGTCAAAACCTCTACCTATATTTTCTCTAACATTCACTTGCTCGTTCCTTTCTCATGAAAATGATCTCTACCGTCCGTTTTAATACACAACACGGGCATTTTCAGAGAGTTGTATATGCACAAGTGAAAGCAAAAACAAATGTACCATATAACTAGTACATATGTACCTACCATGCATTAAGTCCTATTTGTTTCAATTCCCCTCCAGGATCAATCCAAGTTTCCCAAACCCATGGTTTTTCCTACCCAGTATAGTTTTGAGAATATCGCCATCATGTGCACCCAAAGAAAGATAACAACACATGCAAGAGAAAAAATATTAAGTGAAAAACCAAACTTTGTAATACTTTGATTTAGAGATCTACAATTACAGTACAAGATTGAAACAAGACTGCTAGAATGTCATTATTGGAAACCAAAGGTTTTTAACTATACTCATCAGCGGTGGGGGATCAGCAAAAGCGTAAAGCATCTTCTAGTTCTTTCTCATCGTCACAGTTATATCCCAGTAAATAAGCTCGAGCTGAGACAAAAAAAGAAAAGATATTAGGAGAGGAGCAATCAAGAAGCTAGAAGGCAAAACTGATAAAAAGGTATATACCAAAACGACCCGATCCCATGAATGGCTCTGCTTCATCTGTAGTGCCAACTTGTTGCTGCTCCTGTTATAAACTTAAAATTAGCTAAAACTACGCTACATTATACATTAAATATGCAAAACATTCAAGTTTTAACATCTATAGCTGTATTATCACTTGGTAGCAAGCTCATTATCACAGATAGGAGATGCTACTATCAATTCAAGGATATACTTACAACGGATGCATTATACAGGCACTAGGTGCAAATAGAAGATACAGTAACCAAAATCTGCTGCAAGATGCATCATACATTCTCACAAATCAAAATCAAGCATGAACAAGCTTCACAAATAGCCTAAAACATCACAAAAGAAGAACGAGAGCAATTTAGACAGTCAAGGAGACAGTTGACTTGCTTTTCGTTCCATCTTTCACAACTGCTGTATTCTAGTAGTGTTAACATATCAGTGCAACAGCTCTTAAATTTTCAGTAAATAGATAAGCAAATTTCCGTATTTGAAAAGTGTGCTTACCCAGCACAATTACCAAACAAGTAAGCTTCAGTGCTTTCAAGTTTCAACCACTGATTTGACAGGAAATTCAGAGAACATTTTACCAATGCAAAAGGTGTCAAAACAACAGAAAACCATAGCCTTTGAAGTTTATCTTTTACTTTTGCTGTAGTTCCAAGTTGCATTAGAAAAACCAACAAACTCTTTCAGCTATGGAACATGAATTTTCCTTCTCTCATAAATTTAGTTTCTTTCAAAAATAGCATCCTCAAGTGACTTGTTTCTTACCCCATCTAGTTCCATTTCGGAAGGTGACAACATCCTATCAAAACAGTGGCCTGAAATGGTACACACCAGAAGACCATTTATAGGATCAGATACAACTTCCCTACATGTGTCATCACAAACTGCACAACCACACAAAAGAGAACCCATAAGCAACAGTAGGTTGAGATCACTCTCATTGTACGTATCTAATGAATAGGTTGCAATGAAGCAAACCATTCTTACCATGGACATATCCAGTTTTCTCACAAACATATACATCTCCTATTTGATAGTAAGTGCACGTCTCCCCAGAGCACACATGATCAATCACCACTTTATCACCCAGACCTTTGCTTTTCTTCCAAGTAGAGACTTGATCAGCAACTGTCTTATCAAGAATTATTCGGTCATCATTTACCTGTACATTTAAGCCATAGAAAGGTAAGTACTCATAAGAAATCTTGACACATAACTAAGGGAAATAAACATGAAGGGTCTTAACAGTTTATTTTAGTTAGTATCATTTTTCTCGCTGTTTATTTCTTGTTTTCACCTGGGAAAAAAGAAAACTAAAAGGAATAACATTGTTCAGGAAATAAAAAGGAAAGGTTCCCGGACAATTTACAGCCAAAAATCAGAGAAGTGAAATTATGAATTTATTTGGAATTGTCTATATTCATATGCAGTACTATGAAGTTCTTTGAGAAGACCTTCAGTTACCTCAGACGGAGGAGGAGCTTGGCTTCTTTTTGCTGCCTGCATTTGGATGTAATACTCCTTAAATTCCATAGGAGTATTCCTGACAAACTCCATCATATCATCTGCATCACGCTGCAGTAGAAGTATTCAATTCGACCAAAATTAAATTAAATCTGAGGATACATAAAACTAGTAAATCATAAAGCACATTTAATGTTGCTGTGTTAGGTACCGTTATACAGAAATACATACACACTACAGAAAATGAAATCAAAATTAACATTCCAAATGCATCACTTAAGTATCTCGTTGACAGAAATGAGAAGACAGTTCACCTTGCACTTCCCCTATATATTTTTACCATGTCCCTTCAAAACTTTAAGTGTTCTCCAGGTCAAAAGTTTGAAATATTTTCCATACTGTATCCATTATGCTTCAAATTTTGCATTCCTTAAGCTAGAAATGGCTGGTCAAAGAGTAGTAAGCCTAATATTGACCAACTTTTAACCTTGTCCCGTTCAAGTATACAAAATGATCAACTCAATTTAGGAATGTTTTGAAACGTGTGATCATTTGATCTAAAAGCTTAAACCTTTAGCGAGTAGCACAGTTTTATCAACTTAGTTATATTACGTCTCAACATATCCCCTCACATTTTGGCTTGATTACTATTTCACAGTGTTGTAAAAAGCGCGCTTAAAGCGAGAAGCGAGGCGAGGCGAGGCGAGGCCCCTGCGCTTTTATTTCGTGAAGCGAAGCGACATTGAAAAGGCGCTCGCTTCTACTGCAGAAGCGAGAAGCGCAGAAAAGCAAAAGCGTTAAAAAAAACGCGCTTAATTTGAAAAAGCGCTAATTAGGGTTTCTTTTTTTAAAATTGTAAGTTTTTTTTTTTTTTAATTGCTGAAATCCTTATGCGACTTAATATACTCTTTCGTGACTTAAAATTCTTTTTTGGACTAAGAAGCTGCGACTGCTCTTCTCCTTCTTCTTCTCTGCTGCGTAAGTTCTCTTCTTCTTCTCTGCTGCTGTAAGTTTCTTCTTCTTCTCGTCTTCTCTTCTTCTCTTCTTCTTTGCGACTGCTCTGCGACTTTTTTTCTATTTTTGGTTGCTGCCAGGTTGCCACTGCTGTAAGTTCTCTTCTTCTTCTTCTTCTTCTTCTTCTCTTCTTCTCTGCGAGGCTGCTGCTACTGTTTGTTTTTTTTTGGTTGCTGCTGGGTGTTATCTATATTTTTATTGCTGCATTTTTTTTTTCCAATTTTTGTTTGCTGCTCTGTTTTTCAATCTCTATTACTGACCTGCTTTTTTTTTCAATTAATATTACTGCTCTGTTTTTTCCAATTCTTTTGCTGCTCTGTTTTTTTTTATTTCTATACAGTGACTGTGATCAGTGATGTGTGTATGCTTGCTGCTCTGTTTTTTTTTTTATTTCAATACAGTGTGACTGCTCTGGTTGCTGCTCTTAAATCTTAATAGTCTTTATTTTTCTTACTTAGAAAATTTGTTGTTTTGTTACTAAGTGACACTTCTTTTTTGCTTGTAGTAACTAGTGAAGTTGTATTTTCTTATTCAAAATGTCACAAAAAAGGGATCCGGCTTGGGCGTATGGAACTCCTATGGGTAGTAACACAAAAGTTAAATGTAGCTTTTGTGATGTGACATACAATGGCGGAATATTTCGTCACAAAAAGCATCTTATCGGTGGCTATAGAGATGTAAAAGTATGTCCGAACGTCCCGGATAAAGTGAAGGAAGAGATCAAAGAATATTTGTTGAAGAAAAATGAGTTTAAAATTCAAATGAACCATGAAGCATCCATGGTTAATCTTGTTGATAATGATGAAATGGATGATGATGAAGCTGAAGTGAATATGCCAATGGGGCCTCCCTCAAAGCATCAAAGGATGCCTTCAAGTAGTGGGAGTGGGTCTTCCATCAATAGCACTATCAAGGGTCCTATGAA